TTGGAAATATCCAATAACACTGCCAACATCACCCCCCCCCCTGGGACGTCGCCTCTTCAGAGAGGGCCTGGACACGCTTAATCGCGTCTATAGTGGACAGGCCCTCCCTGAACCCGTATTGGGCCCCGCTAATGTCGGGGCCCACTTGGGACAGGTGCTGGACGAGGCGGTTTACGAGCACTCGCTCGAACAACTTACCGACCTCGTCCAGAAGGCATATTGGCCTATACGCCGACGGGAGAGAGGCGTCTTTCCCCTCCTTCGGGAGGAGTACCAGCGTGGCACTCCTCCACCGCGGGGGGAAGACACCTCTCCTCAGGCACGCGCTATACGCGCGCGCGTACTCCGCGAGGATGCGCATGGCCAGGGCGTGGACACGCTTGTGGAGGCCGTCAGGACCCGGGGCTGTATTGCCGTTAAGGCCCTTCCTGACGGCCTTCCGGAGTTCCTCCGGCTGGACGTCCAGGGAGTCGTCCCAGTCGGGGGAGTCTTCCCTCGGCTCGAAGGGTGGGGCCTCGTCCTCCCCGGTAATGTCGGGGAAGAGGGCTCGCACCACCCTCCGGACGAATCCCACGTCCAGCTGCTCCGTCAGCGGAGGCGCCCATGGTCTCAACTTGTTGAGCACCATCTTGTATGGGCGCCCCCACGGATCCTCCTGAAGGGAGTCGAGGAACTCCGTCCACGTCCTGCCCTTTGCCACCTTGATGGCCCACCTGAGGGCTACCTTGGCCTCAAGGTAGCCCTCTCTGGCTTGTTCGGCCGCCTGTTCGCCTCTGCGCCTGCAGCGGGCGGGTCTCCTTTGCTGGTGGACGGCTCGTCGACGCAAGTCGGCGATCTCTGCCGTCCACCAGTAGACGGCCCGCTGAGGCCGAGCCTTGGACCGGGGCATCGCGGCGTTACACGCCGCTGTAAGCGTTGCCCCGATCCACTCGGCTTCTTGCAGGGGGTCCGTCTCCCGGGTCTCGGGGAAACTTCCCCGCACCCAACAGGCGGCCTCTATCGAGGCCGTCAGGGCATCCTCGCGCAGTTTCCGGAGGGCCCATCGCGGTCGTGTCTCCTGGCGACGCACGGAGGAGAGGACACCGATATATATCGGTGGTCCGACAGAGTCCCGATGTCCCGCTCCACCCTCCACCCGGTGATCAAGCGCGCGGCCGAGGGGGTAGCCCATGTGATGTCCACAATGGATTCCCCCTGCGTTCGCACGCAGGTGGGGGTCTGGCCCTCGTTCACGAGGACCAGTCCGTGCGCCGCCGCCCAACTCGCCAGAGCCGCGCCCCTCGCGTTCGTGCGCCGGGAACCCCAATCCGTATTCCAGGCATTGAAGTCCCCGGCCACGAGGATTGGCTTCGGACTCAGACGTACGATCGTCTGTCCAATGTCCGACAGCCAGCCCTCAAAGGGGGCGAGGCGTCTGGTGGGCTTTAAATAAGCCCCCCCCCGCGATGGGCCCCCACTGCATGGCCACGTGCCGGTCCCCCCTTTCGATGGCGGTCGTATCGGGCCCACCCGGCTCCGACCGCCATCGAATTGCCACCGAGTCCCTCACCCGCCCGACAGCCCAATATGGGCTGTTTTCTCGGGCGCGGTGAGGCTCGGATAGTATCGCCAACGTGAATCCCCTCTCCATCATGCTCTGCTGGAGCAGTTCCTGTGCATGTGGAGAGTGATTCACGTTGGCCTGTAGCAGGCCATATCCCCTTAGGTTCGGACGAGGGGGGCGAGGCATTGCTAGACCTCATCCCCCCGTCCGATGCGGCCTCGATCTCCATGGCCTCTGGATTCGTGGCCTTCCCCTCCCGCGCTCCTCCACGAGGCTGGCGCTGCGACTTGGGCCTTTCCCGCAGCTCGCCGCCCCCTGTCTTCGTCCCATCCTCCACCGGCCGGACTTCGGCCGGGGGGGGGGGGCACCGGCTGCTGGCGCCTGCTCCAGGGTGCGCCGCTCCGGTGGCCTCCCGCGCACATTTCTTTGGGCGCAGGTCTTTGCGCCCAAGACGTGCGTGGCCGGTCTACCCTTGTCCGCGCACAGCGGGCACTTAGGGGCAGACCGGCAGTCGCGGGAGGTGTGACCGGTCTCACCGCACCGGTAGCACCTCCCGCTCCTATCCACCACACTGGGACAGGTCGCCCTTACGTGGCCCCTCTCGAGGCACCTATGACAGCGCATGGGATGCGCCTCGAGAAGGTCCACCCTGGCCATCACCCAGCCAACCCGCACACGTCCCTTTTGGGACAACTCCCTCGCCGTTGTTAGGGGCAGGCGCATCCAGAGGCTGGACCTTCCTCCGGCGGCTGCTTGCAGCGCTCCGCACTGCAGCTCGGAGACGCCGCACCGTCCAGCCTCTGACACCCACCCCTTTACCTCATCGACGTCGAGTGAGTCGTCGATGTCGCGCAGGCGGATCTCGGCCATCCTCCTTGGCCGGTCCACCCACGTTCCGTCTTCGCCAGGGAAGACTCGCCTGACGTGTTCCGCGAGAAGGTCAGCCTTGTCGGCATGGCCTTCCCCGGACACTTCTATGACCCTGGCACCGGTGGCGCCTGATCTTATGTTGATCAGGCCACCGATGCCAAGGTCTTCCAGTTTAATCTCCCGCCGCAGTCTGGCCAGGGCCTCACGGTAGTCCCCATTGGGACGCGTGACGACCACGGCCGACGTACGCGGGAGCCTCCTCTTGGGGGTCTTTTTGGGCGGCCCACCGTCTGCCCCTTTACTGGGGCACCGGGGGCGGCCGCCCTGGGGACTCCCTTTGCGGACTTCCCCTCCGCAGCTTTACTCTTCCTCCCAACCACCGCTGCGTATGTCTCGCCTGCAGCGGGTTGGGGGGACCTGGTGTCTCTTTTCTTGGAAGAGACGCCTATCTTCTCGGCTTCCTGTTCCTGCCGCAAGAGGGGGGGCCCCTTCTTCTTCTTCTTCTTCTCAGGCCCCCCTCCCGCCACACTCGCAGTCTTTTCTGGAGGATCCGTTCTCCTTGATCCACCCCTCTGGCCGGCCCCGGGAACCGGGCGGTCCCTCACGGCGCCCCCTCCCCCCTCTCGAGGGTTGGAGGGGCCCGCCGCAGGCCCGCTAATACGGGCCCGCCGCCGGCCAGAGCCCGGATCATATCCTCCATCCTTTGAAGTCTCCGGTCGATCTCCCAATACTATTTTATAATTGCAATAAGTTTTTGCAAAAATTGTATTTCTTACAATATAAATATATATTAGAATTTATTAAAATATATATTGTATAATTATCTTGAATACAATATGTCAAAATTGTTCATTGTTCAGAAAAAAACATCTTATTTGACAAGTGTTTATTTTCAAAGTCCAAATTACTCTACGTGCGTGTTTAACGGCGTGTTATTTTCCAAATATTAAAAAACGCTTTTAATTTTTATGTTACATCGCTTTCTTACAAATTTATTATTTTTTATTAATTTTTTATTTATTATTTTGGTGGACATAGTAATTTTTCACATTATTTTGTCCATCAAAGTGCAGTTTTCAATAATAAGTTTATCTCTTTTAAACATTTTTATTATATGTATACCAGTTTGAAAATTATATTAAATTATATTAAGGGGTAACACCTACGTAAAATTTTCAAAAAATCAATTTTTTTTTAAATACACTTTAGGGTCTTAAAAATGAAGTACAAGTGGTTTTATAGCGATAAAAAATTTTTTCCCATAGTTATAGGCTCCCGCGCCAAGTGCTGCTATAAAGCGCACGGTGCTCCGGGTTTAGGTATCGTGAGTACTCTCTTCTTTCAGATGTATTTGTAATAAATGACGCCAACTAAGCACATGTCCTAATGTAATTGCTAGAATCTTCGCAAAAACGTGACATAGTTGTTATAAAACTGCCGAAGGTGACAAACATATACAGACACTCGGCTAGAGAAGACTTAGACGGCACAAGTATCTCGCAGTGGGACTGTTTCGGTATCGGAATTCCAAATATTATATTAATTCCAACTATAATTATTTTGTAAAGTTTCGAGTAAAAAGTGATAATGAGTGATCAAAAAGAAAATATACACTTCAAAGAAAGGTACCAAGACAAACACAACGGCAACAAAACGGAGCGATGCAGCGAAAGAGGCTCGCTCGAGCTTACAATCTGCGAGAAAGGACAAAGAAGATGAAAATCTTGCTGTTGAAGGGCAACTTTATGGTCCTGGAATCGCAGACTAAAGGTAAATTCAGTATAAGTAACAAAATTTCAATAGTTTCTAAAAATATCAACATTCGAAACTTTAAACGCGTTTTTCTCGAAACAGCATTTTTAAAGTTGGCTAGCAGTAGAACTCAAACAATTTTTAACCGATTAATTTAAAATTTTAACAGTACCTAAAAAAGTTAATTTCCTACAGAAATACGTAGGATTTTTTTGATAAGTTAAAAACTTTTTTAGTTACAGCTGATTTTACTCGATTTTTTTTCTTGAAATTTATGGATTTTTCTTTAAAACTTCGCCATTATGTCAAAAATCAATATTAAGAAAAACGGCTACGTATTTCTCCAAAGCAAAATAGCTTCTGCAATAACTGTTGCTAGGTAACAGTTCCCAAGTAACATATTTGTAACTAACAAGCAACTTAAACTATATAACTTATCATATCAACTTATCATAATCTTATCAATTCAAATTAAACTCTAACGATGGAGCGTATTCGTTACAACAACGAAGAATTAGCAAACATGTTGCTTATTTACGGTCAATGTCATAAAAATCAAAGGCAAGCTGCAGCCCTCTATGCCGCACGTTTTCCCGATAAGCGACATCCAGGACACGGTTTTTTTACATCTTTATTCAGTAGAGTTTGTCGATATGGACTGTTTCACGCTCCAACACGTCCACGAGTTGTACCCCAACGTGACGAAGAAACAATTAATAATGTAAGAGAAGCACTTATTGCCAATCCGCATACGAGTACGAGAAGTATTGCCCATGATCTACAGCTATGCCATGTCAAGGTTCATAAAATTATAAAGCATAATCTTGGATGGCATCCATTTAAGAGGCATAAAACGCAAAAATTATTTCCTCAAAATTTGCCACGCCGAGAAGCATTTTGTGATTGGCTGTCAGAACAAGTAAGAAATATATTACCAATAAAATATATTGGTGGCTTTCGTTGCTTAGTACAATTTAGAATAAACAATTATTTTTTTATAAAATAGCTTAAAATGAAATTTTCAGCTTTGAAAATCTTAAAAAATTGAAGTACTGAATATATGAATTTATTGTGGGACGAGAGCCACAAGTTTATAGTGTTAGATATGGCCTGATGTGGAAAGGCCTATCATAAATCCCTCACTTGAACGGGATATGTTGATCAGGATATTTGATAGGATAGACAGGATGGCTGTGAGAAGATGCCCGGAAGAATGTCCGTTGAGCGGGAAGGAACAAGCGCAAAGGGAATATGATAAAGACTGTTTATTTCCTCGTAGACGTAACAAACGTATGCACCCTGTATTAGGCGCGACCGCACTCACAACGAAGACAGTCAATCACGACCCTGTACTTATCGCACGCTTCGACAAACGGGACTCACACTCTCCGAACGCTCTACGATGCTGTCTCTACGCTCGCCATTACCGAACTCTCCTCCTTCGCCGATACCGTCGCGCCCTCTCGCGCTCCTTTACCATCGACTATTGGGCCCGCTTTCACGCGACCACATACCGCCGAGATTAAAACATGCACACTTTATTAATTGCACCTTACAATAGTTTAACAATTTTCTTGTCATTTTGATTTTAAATGTTTACGAAATTGTAGCAATCAAATTTGCTCCATTGTACTAGGTTGACTTGAATAACATCGCGAATGATTATTTCTTAAGGAGAATTCTCTGGACAGATGAGTGCACTTTCCGCAGTGATGGGCACATAAACAGGCACAATGAACATCATTATGCAGAAGAAAATCCTCATTGCCGAAAAGAAACACACATTCAGGGACAATTCCATATAAATGTCTGGATGGGAATTTTGGATAATCAAGTTATCGGACCGTACTTCTTCCCAGAAAATATTAAAATCACAGCACAAGTTTATTCCGCTTTCCTGGAGGAAATACTACCGGATTTATTAGAAGACGTTCCATTGGCTATAAGACCAAATATTATTTTTCAGCAAGATGGTCATCCTGCCCATACATCCTTTCTCGCGCGTACCGTATTAAATCAAAGATTTCGGAACAGGTAGATAGGCATCGGAAGTACTCTGCATGAATGGCCCCCACGTTCTCCTTTTTTTTTTTGACCCGGTGGAAATCCTCATGGACCGTCCCCCCGCCCTGCTGGGACAGAGACGGGGGGGTGTGTGGGACTCGTCTCCCTGGCCCCTGGGCTGTTGACACCCGTGGGACCAGTAGTGCAATGGAGACGCCTACCGCACTAAAACCACCGGGAGTGGACTTCTCTGCGCTATTGGGGGCTGCCAAGGGAATGCAAAACTAGAACTGCTCGACAGCCCTCGCGCCGCGCGTGTATGCCGTACGCGCACCTCTAGGCCTTGATTGTGAAGGCCTGGCCCTGAGAAGGGCCTTCTCCTATGGCCCTGAGAAGGGCCTTCTCCTCCTCTAATTTGCGGCGGGGGTGCCACCAGGCCTCCCGCCGCGCCCCTCGTTGTTGTGGGGGCGGGTGGGTCACAAGTCTCCAGCTTGTGCCCACCCCTAGGGTCCCGGACCTTTCTCCTCCCCTTTGAGTCGCCTTTTACGACAGGCAGGGGCTACCCCGGGGCTATTCTTAAAGCGGCACCCGTACGCCTAAAATGGGACCCTACGTCTCTGCACCGATGACATGGTGCTATCTCTCTTATGGCCTAAGATGTGCCATTTGACGACGCCGACGACCGACTAATCTTCGTCTTCTTGGCGGTCCGCCTCCTCCTCCGTTTTGCTGCGTTGGAGGGTTCGTCTCTCCTTTGCGCAGCCTTTCCTTCTCTTCCTTCTGCGTAATTACTGCCTCACAGAAGGTCGAGAAGGCCGTCCATGCCTCCTCCTCGTTAATTATCGCTTCCACGACGGCGCCTAGGGACAGATCGTCCCCGATAATTGCGGACAGGGCCCGGCGCTCACCCTCCCAGGCTGGACATGCCTCGAGGGTGTGCTGCGCCGAGTCCGTGTCCCCGTCGCAGTGATGACATCTGGTGTCGTTATCTCGTCCAATGCGACACAGGTACTCTCCGAAACAGCCGTGTCCGGAGAGCACCTGCGTCGTCCTAAACGAAGCCCTAGCTCCCGCCCGGTCGAGCCACTCGTCGAGTCTCGGAAGGATCGCCTCAACTGTCCTTCGTCCGAACCCACCTGGTGCTGAAAGCCTGGCCCGCCACTCCTCCCTCGTCCTTTCTCTGAGCTCAAGTCGGACAGCTCTCCTCACCCCAGCTGTTATGGGGACGCCGCTATCTCTCAGTTCTGTCACGCGTTGGTACACCGCCGCATGGCTCCTCGCTGCCAGATCTATGGGGGGAGTACCCGCGAGCAGTGTCGCCGCCCTGTGCGATATTGTACGGTAGGCCCTTATTGTACGTATCGCCATTCTCCTCTGCGCCCTGTTGACGATGGACCTGGCTTTGGCGTTTCTATCCAACGCCCCCGACCATATTGGTGCTCCATATAGGATTATGGAGTTGAGGACGTTGGAATAAAGCTTCCTCGTCTTCCCGCTGGGACCTCCCAGGTTGGGCATCAGTCTGGATAGCGCTCCAGCCACGGCGTCCAACCTGGGAGACAGTTTGGCGAAATGGTCGCCAAATCGCCACCTCTCATCTATATGTAGGCCCAGGTACTTTATCGTCTTTCCGACGCGCACCTGGGTATCTTCTACCTTCAAGAGGGTATCGGGTGGTCTCCCATGAGAGCCGTCATGTAAGAAGACGGCCTCAGTTTTGTTGGCGGCCACCTTTAGCCCCACAGACCCGATTGCCTTCGTCACACAGGCTATTGCCAGGTTTGCCTTCCTTGTCGCCGACTCCCAGTCGTCCCCACCGACAAGCACCAAGGTGTCGTCGGCATGGCACACCAAGGTGCTGCCGGTGGGTAAGGCTGCGTCCAAGACTCCGTCGTAGGCAATGTCCCACAAGAGTGGCCCTAGGACCGACCCCTGTGGGACACCGCACCCTGCCGGCCAGTTACGCCGGTCACCTCCTCTGTCTGTACAGGTTATCTTCCTGTTACTGAGGTAGTCTCGGATCACCCCGATCAGAGGCTTGGGGAACCCAAAATTGATCAGGGCCCTGTTAATTGCCCCGTGGGGGAGGGAGTTGAACGCATTCGCTATGTCAATAGCAATCGCGACAACCACCCCCCCTCCTCGATCACATGGTCCGAGAGGGATTTGACACATTCGATAGCGTCTATTGTTGATTTCCCCTCCCGGAATCCAAACTGCCTATCAGATAGGCGACGACCCGAGTCCTCCATGTGTCGGATCAGTCGGTTGGCTATAACCCGCTCTAATGTCTTTCCGGCCTCGTCCAACAGACAAATAGGCCGGTATCCACTAGGCGAGTCCTCCGGCTTGCCCTCTTTGCGTAGCAAAACCAGGTTCGCCTGTTTCCACGCTGTCGGGAACTTTCTGTGCCTTATACACGCTGAGTACAGCCCGACGATCCTCTCCGTCAGCTCCCCCAGGGCGATCCGCCAGACCGAGCCAGGGACACATTCCGGGCCTGGGGCTTTTCTGGGTTTCACTTTCCTTGCCGCCACGGCCACTTCTTCGTTGGTGACCTCCATCTCCTCACACCACGCTTGTTCCGGTTCATCAACAGCAACCTCTCTTCCTCCTCCTGGCGGGAATAGTGTGTTTACCACCCGGTCTAGGAGGTCCACCTTTATTTGTTCTACCGTAGGTGGGGCACCACTTCTGAGCCTCTTCAGTACCAGCCTATAAGGCATCCCCCAGGGGTCCTCGTCAAGGGTGTTCAGGAGATCCGTCCATGCGTTTTCCTTTGCCCTTCGTATCGCGAACTTCAGGGCGATCCGACTCTCCCTGTAGCTCGCCAAGAGTGCCTCGAGACGATCGCGCGTGATGGGCCTTCTTCTTCCTCTCTGTAATGCTCTTCTGTGCATCACCGACTTTCTTCTTAGATCCGCTATTTCGTCGGTCCACCAATGGGCCTGTTTGCGGGGAGTGAACCTGACCCTGGGCATCGCGCTGTCGCATGCCCGGGTCAAGGTCTTTCTCAGCCACATAGTCTCCTTCTCAACCTCTTCCGTGTTTTGCGGGGGATCTGCCCGAGCCCAGGCGGCTGCCACCAAGGTCGCAACCAGCATATCCCGGTCTATTTTGCCCACCGCCCATCTCGTTTGCGTATAGGCACACGCATTTGCAGCCCTTCTTATGGAAGGTCCTGCAAGGGATATCTCGATAAAGAGGTGGTCCGACAACGTTTCCACCTCTTCCAATACCCTCCAGTTCTCCATCCAACTCGTGGCAGCCGGTGAGGTCCAAGTTAGGTCTATTATAGACTCCCCTTGAGCCCTCACGCAAGTGCTTGCGTTGCCACGATTTCCTAGTGCCAGGCCCAAACGGGCCGCCCACGCTGCCACCTCTGCCCCCTTTGCGTCCGGTCGCCGGGAACCCCAATCCGCGGACTTCGCGTTGAAGTCCCCGGCGACCAGAACGGGTCTGGGGAGGACTCCCCTGAGTTCTCTCTCCATCTCGTCGAGCTTATCCTCCAGTTCGGCCACGCTGAGGCTAGGCCGGAGGTACACTCCCATGACGAAGAAGGCTTCGCAGTCGACGATGAGCCATCCCTCTCCCTCTCTGGCTCGGGACCAGGGGACGTGTCTTTGTCCCGTCCTTCGCCAAGTGATGGCGACTGAACCGTCCGTACTCTTGGCCCAGTTGGGGCCGTCAGGCACGTAGTACGGCTCCGACATTATGCCCACACCGCAACCACGCTCCGCCAGGGTATGCAGGAAGAGATCCTGCGCCTGACGGGCGTGGTTGAGGTTCCCCTGTGACATTTTTAGGGAATTGAAGGCACCGTCTTCGTAGCCTCCTCCAGGCCACTTGCTTCTCCGTTCACAGGCAGGCACGTACTCGCCTGTGTACCGTCTACACTCCTAAGTCCCGGCGGTGTGTCGGAGTGGTCCCATTCCAGGGACCCCTCCCTCTCCTCTTCAACCTCCATCGAAAGGTCGATCAGGTTGGCCACCGTCCGGTCCTCTTGTGTGCGCGGTTCCGTCCCTTGCGTCTGGGTCGTGAGCCGCTGTTTCTCCTCCTGCCTCCTCTTTTTGGCCGCCTTCTTGGAGGTAGGTGGGCACGCCGCTCCTCCGGCCTTGTGCACATGGGGCAGTCCCCTGTCCCTGCACACGATGCAACTTGGCTTGGCAGAGCACTCGGCTGATCTGTGCCCCTCCTCGCCACACCTATAGCAGGTGTTCGACCGATCCTTGCTGCTACGGCACTGTGCCCGAACATGACCGCGCTCGAGGCACCTATAGCACACAAGTGGCCTTGCGTCCAACAGGTCCACCCGTGCCATTATCCATCCTATCTTAAGACGGCCAGTTTCCGCCACGCGCTTAGCTGAGTCGAGTGGGCACTGGACCCATACAGTCCCCAAGCCATTTGTGGCCCTCCTGATAGGGCCCACCTTGATATCATGACCCGAGCACTGTCCCACTCTCTCCACTACCTCTCTTACTTCGTCTTGGCTGATTGAGTCCTCTAGATCTCGGACCCGCAGCTCCGCCATCTTGATGGGACGCATCACCTTAACCCCCTCCGCGTTCCCAACCACCTCCCTGATTCGCTGAACCAGGGTGTCCGCCTTAGGGTGCGCATCCACTCCGGGAATCTCTAGAATGAGCGCCCCCGTAAGCCCCCTCCTGGGCCTTAGTTCCTCTATTCCTATGTCCTCCAGTCTAACCTTGGATCTGATTGCTCGAAGGCCCTCCTCGTACATTCCTGTGGGGAACGTTAACGAAACTGCTGCAGTTTTTGGAGCCTTCCTTTTACTACCACTGCTCCGGGCCGCCGCTTCCTTTCGCATCCCTCCCTTGTCCCTTCCCCCGCCAGTCTTACCGACCCTGGGCGCCGTTTCCTTGTTGGGCGTTCGACCAGGGCCTGCAGCCGCGGGTAGAGGTTGGGAGGCTGACTCGGCATCTTTATTCCTCCTTCTTCCCTTCTTCACCACTTCCGTCCATAATGTGTTGTCGGACGATGGTGGTGCACCTCCCCCCAGTTGTTTCTGAGGCAGAGGTTGCGTCACGCCTCTATTCTCCACCCTGACTCTTGGTTGCCTTTGTGGCAAAGGCTGGTCCTGTGGCAGAGGCAGAGGCTGCGTTGCCGTCTTGTTGTTCACCGCCTTGGTGCCCAAGGTCGCGACCGTCTTGTCCGGGATGCGTTTTCCGTCCGGCCTCAAACTCCTTTTCACTCCTGCCTTCACTTTTTCACGGGGAGTCTTGTGAGTAGTCTTTCCGCTCGTCGCCTCTTTCACCACCACCATGCTGGTGATAGTTGGGGGCCTCCTTCCTTTGTCTGCCGGAGTCTTCTCGATCTTGCTTGTGCTTGGTATTCCGGCCATCACCCCGGTGCACCTCGCTGCAAGGTTTTCAAGATTGACCTTGACTTCTTGTGGGTTTCCCTTCAGGACAGCTTCGATGGAGACGCCCTCCATGACTCTTCTGACATTCTCCATAACGACGTCTATGGGTGGCTCCTCCAGCCGTTTCCTGACCCCCCTTATCCTAGGCCTGAGAGCTGGAAAGTCCTCTTCCTCCAGCATCATGTCCCCTGCCTCCTTTAAGGTTCCTTGTGTTAAGGGGTCTTTCGTCTCATCCTGTATATCCATGCAGGTCTTGTCCTCTTTGCATGTGCATGAGCGACTCTCTTTTCTCCTCTCCTGTGCTCGCGTGCGCGATTCCTGCGCTTGGAGCTGTTCGGTTAGTTCACGGACCTGGCTCTCCAGAGACCTAATTTTCTCCCTGAGTCTGTCCGTATCCCCCTTACCCCTATCCGCCTCTGGCTTGGTGGCCTTCGCGGTAAGCGCAGTTGTAGCGGCTCTCATTCCCTTTGCGCTCGTCTTTAGCTCCTTTACAAATGTTCCTTTTAAGTTCTTGGAACCCGTTGCTACTTTGTGAACTATGTTAATATAGTTCAGCATGTCCGCAGCTACTTGCTCAGCGGACATCCCTTCCATTTGTTCCACCAGTTCCCTTTCCGGTGTTCCGTCGCGAGGAAGGACTCTAGGGTCTAAGACCCTCTTCAGCAGCTTCTTCTCTTCTACGAGCTTCCTGATTTCCCTCTTGTGTTCCTGCTTCTTTCTTTTATAGAGGCCCTCGCATGTTGTAGGC